TCTAATAATTTTCGATTCCATATTTTTCCCCATTATTAGTCTCATCAATCTAATATACATGTATACAAATTATTATAATTATTAAACATCCATTAAGCCTAGCTATTATTACATCCTTTCAACATAATGCATATTAAATCTGAAGTAACTTTATATTATGACATTTTATTACATCATCCTGAAATCATCCAATGATATTACATCCTTATATTCTATTCTATATAGAATTGTTTATCTTTTATAAAAAGGCTTTTCAACATCATCTCAATTTTTATCAGTTTTGTAATGGATTTTGTGTTATTCTAATGTTATAGTATTTTTAATAAATGAAGTATTATTTATTTGCAATAATTAGAGATGGACTAAATTGCATATTAGCAAATCAGTGAGTAAGGGTCTTAATATTTATGCAGGATATTATTAAACATTCTGAGATGAGACAAATTGAACTAAAGATTCTTTTTCATGTTTACTGGACACCTCAGAGAAGAATTTTGAAAGGTTAGCTTTGAGTGTTACTATATTGTAAGGAGACACATGTAATTGTGAGTTTGTCCTACTATTATTGCCCTATTTTAGGTCAAAATCGATGTGCTTGATAATATGGTCTTAGAAACATTGATATGGCTTAACAATGTGATGTACTTTTGAATTTTTATTCCAAAAGGTGGAAAGTTGAAACATATCCCTAAATAAAGGCTTATGCATTTATGAAGCACCAAGTTTCAAATCATGTTTACTGTTCAAAGTTAGAAAGATGGTGCAATCAAAGATTCAGTCATTTGATTGTAAATTTGTATGTGCTTGTTAAATGTTTATGAGAGGGCCCAACCGAAAGGTGTATTTTCAAATGGCAACTGGAGTTTGTTTTTCCTTGAAGATGTTTTGCTTCTCATCCAAGAAGCTTCTTCAGTTCAGTTCAAGGGTCCAGTTGCCTTCTTAAAAAGCACCTTTTTTCAGTTCAGAACTGAAGAAGCTTTTGGATGAGAAGTGACATGTCTTCATGGAAAAACAAAGTCCAGTTACTTTTTGAAAAAGCACCTTTGGGACAACCATGACCTGGATGACTGAGAATCTCCATAGACAAGATGGCCCAAGTATTCCTGTATTGGTGATTGGTAATAGCCTTCCAGCTCAGATTATTTGGAGGAACAAGCAACCGCTTAGAATGTAAAAGTTAACCTTTTCTGCTCAAGTCAGTTTGAGGGTAGAGATCAGGGATGGGTTCCTGCCAGTTCTAACCTCTTCTATAGAAGGTTCCACAAATCTACAGTGCCGTTTAGAAC